TGATCACTCGGCCGTTTTGCTGTAGACTGTTTGAGAATAATTACTGAGGCTCGGGAAGAACCAAAAGATTTTCCTAAAAATAAATATGAACAAAAAGCAAATCATTGTCATTAACTTTTGCTGCAACCCTGATGCGAGTGTGTTTTCTATTAAAATAGCATGAAACTAGAAGGTTACAGGGTTTGTTTTTGTTTGCCACAATGCCTGTACTCAAATCATTCCATTACCTCAATCGATTTTTAACCCTAACAGGGCAAACTGATACCAATGAACGTAATTGGCGTGTACTCTGTACTTGGGATTGTCAATGGGACACCAACCAATCTTGCTCAGATCTGTATTAAGGAAATAGTTACACTTGAAAACATCTGTGGCCTTGACCCCCTGCACACTGCTTTACCAATCAACAACAGTGTGTGAGTGGGTTGTTTCCCAGCAAGGGCAACAAGGGAGGAAATGGAGAAAGGGTTATTCTGGCTGCTTTTACAGCATCTTCCAGGAGTTGGTAACAGTAAATTAGTAGAGGCCTGGGAGCAGGTTATATGACATCTCAGTCTCTACTACATTGAAGATTCGGTAACATAGAGGGATTTGGCACCTCCAGCATATAGGTTTTGAATAGATAAAAAGTCTATAATAATAATAATTATCCTTGTATTTGATATAGTGCCTTAACACATTGTTGAGTTGTCTTAAAGCACTTTACAGAATATATTGTAAAGTGGATTGACTGTGTATGTCATTGGCGAAATACGGCAGCCAATTGCGCACAGTAGTGTTCCAAAAACAGTCATGGATTGAGTGACTAGATGTTTTTTTGGAGGGATTATTATCCCCAGAAAATGATCTGCCAATCGAGCTCCTACTTAATGCTAGGTAAACAGAGACGTGTGGAGTAAGGAAACTTGCCTAAGGTTTTGTCCTGCCCGGGAATCAAAATCGGGTCCTCACGCTAGCGAGGCGAATGTGCTAACCACTACCCTACGGGACTCCAAAGAAATCCCAAGTCTGCTTTCTTCCTGACTGTAAGGATCCTCTCTGAAAAGGGATTGGGCTGAAATGTGTAATTAAGTAATTTCCCAGTACTGTATTCCTATTCCTTATTGAGTGCACAGTTCATTATATGTGTAAATAAAGTTTTGTGAAAACAATCTGGTGATGAATTGTAGTCAGACACATGTGCTGCACAGGGGCAAATATGGAGAAATTTTCCTTTTACATGGAGAAATGTCTTTAACTAAAGAATGTCTCTAAGGGCTGCAAGGAAAATTGATAACTAGCTCAGTAGGTGATATTTGATAGTTCTTTAGCACCGCTACAAGATTTCCTAAGAAGAAACAAACAGGTACCATGAAAACAATTAGCGGCCTTGGTTGAAATATAAAACGTGCTATTTTTGACATCAATGGCTGGCCCTGACTGGGACAGTGTAATAGACAAGGCCAAATTAGAAAGAGATGTCTAAATTGACCACGGAAATGAAACAAAAGACAAGAGGGGAAAAGCTGTTCTATTGCTCAATGGACAGACAGCACCAAGAATGTGATGTGAAGAAAGGGCAATTTTTTGGGGTATGCATGGTTAAAAAAATCATTTGGTCTCGTTTCGTCTGCAAAATTTACAGTCAATTCGCTTTACAGTGTAATCTGTGAAGCACTTTGAGACGTCTCGAATACATGCTAAGGCACTATGTCAAATTCAAGGATTATTATTGACACTAGTATTACTCCCGACATGAGGCTTGAGAGCACAACCTATTGACTTTCACAATGTTTTTCAGTTTGTATTGGACAGATACTCTCTGGATTATCTCACTGAGCCTGGAGGGCAGCTTTCCGTTATATTTTTATTGGCGCAGCTGGAGCTCTGGCTCAGAAAATCTCTGGCTCATCCAGCTCTAATATGCAGTATTGCATCATCCATTTGTAAAACAAAACAGCAAGTCCTTAAAATTTGCAGGTCATTCCGGGAAGCTAAACCAGTTTAGTGCTTAAGATTATGGGAATGTAAGGCAGGACACCAGGAGAGACTGCTTGATGGATGAATCTCCACAGAACCTTCAGATTTTGGGGGAAAAAAACAGGAACCATAAAATTACAGCACAAAAAGAGTCAATTTGAACCTATATTGGTGCTTCACAACTCCAGAATCTAATCCTAATTCCCCACACTTTCCCCGCAACCTTCTCTATTGTTTTTCTTGAAATACTTATCCAATTTCCTTCCGAATGTCGTTGTTAGGGATTTCGTCCAATTTTGTTTCTTGCCAAAGCCCAAAAAAAAGTGGTGTTAGATGGAGAAAAGGAATTAGAAGTAATTGTCTTGGCCATAATTCAACTCAAATCTTTCAAGAAAAGGTAGATGTGTGTAAAAAAAACCCGCATTGAATATGCACTTGAATGAGACATTTGAAATCCCTGTGGAAAGGAACAGCATTTTCCACTGCTCTGGCATTGTGTTCGAGGTATGAGGGTTTTGTAAGATGATGTGGATGTTTAAGAATGACATTTTATTGTGCCTAACAATTCCACCCCCAAAAAAATGTTTTACTGCCTCCAAATTAATTGCCAGAGAAATTTTGGAAAAAAAACTATTTTACACACTTTCCTAAGAGGATAACGATTTGTTGGGGGTAACGATTTACTGGTTCCCTCACCTACCACTCCTTGCACACCCCCATCTCTCCGATCTTCTGCCCTGCTCCTCTGCTCACCCTCTTCGCTCGTCTGACATGGGCTTGTTGCACATCCCCCCGCCGCCCCCCACCCCTACCATACTCTTACTTTCTATTTTTAAGTCCTGCCTCAAAACCTACCTCTTCAACCACGTCTATGGCCACCTCCTCTCCCACCCCCAACTTGGTATCCAACACCGTCCTTTGAAAAAAATAATATTATAATAATAATTTGATCACTCAATCCACGACTGTTTGTGGACACTGCTATGCGCAATTTGCTGCTACATTTTGCCCACAAAATATAGTCAATTCACATTACATTATTTTTTGTGAAGCGCTTTGAGACGTCTCAAAAATGACGTGATAAGGCACCATAGCAAACGCAAGGATTAATATTAATATCCTCGTAAAGTAATCCAAACCATTAACCTAGGTGAAGGACGCTATATAGAAGCAAATTGTTTTGGTGAACGTAACATGGTAAAACTTCCCTCGTCGTATGGTTTGTATCTGATTTGACTTAATCGGTTCCATACAGATGCCCAGTCATTTCTGGATCCAGCATTCTTGGTGGCAGTGACAGGAGGAATAACAATAACTCTCTCCAGCTTTGTCTCTGAAATATGGTTTTTATTTAAAAGTGGAATGTGAGTTATTTTGTTGGCTTTGGTGATGTGTCCGCTGTTCGATCACACAGACCATGAAAGTTCCAGGCTTGATTTCCCGGTGTCTTTTGTCTTACTCGAGCCCGGCTCGGGCAATAAAAGTGTACAGGCCCACAAACAGCCTGGAAGTGAATGATCAATTTTATTGGGCGGATTGTTGACCAGGACACCAGGGGAAACTGCCTTTTCTTTCTGAATAGTGCCATTGGCGTCTTTTAACGTCCACCCCTACAGGCATGCAGGACCTCGCTTTAAAATCTCATCCGAAGGACGGCACCTCCGACAATGCAGGGCTCCCCCAGCCCGGCCCTGAAGCGTCATTGTTTCAGTACACGTTCAGCTCAAATAATCTACTATGTTTGCTCGTTGGACCCCGTGGTCGACGGGGAAAAAAAGCGGCAGCCTTATGGCACTCGCTCGGTTTGAGAAGAGTCCCTTGGTGAATAAGCGACCGGAAAACGATCGGTTTTTAACCGCCGTCGCGCCGTAAACTGCCAAGGGCGGCCACGCGCCCCGGCGTCAGATGTAACGTTCGCTCGATCTCCAATCCGTCGCGTATTTTGTTTTGAGAAGAGGCGGGTGGAGCCGTTGTGAAAAACAGACCCCCGTGCGAGCTGCGAGGCGGGCAGGAGGGGGGGAGCGCGAGAGAGGAGAGCGAGAGAGGAGAGCGAGAGCGAGAGGAGAGGGCGAGAGCGAGAGAGGAGAGCGAGAGAGGAGAGCGAGAGAGGAGAGAGTGAGAGAGTAAGAGAGAGGAGAGAGCCAGAGAGTGAGAGCAAAAGAGAGCAAGAGCGAGAGAGGAGAGAGAGTAAGAGAGAGTGAGAGCGAGAGAGTAAGAGAGAGGAGAGAGCGAGAGAGTGAGAGCAAAAGAGAGCGAGAGAGGGAGAGAGCGAGAGCGCGAGAAATAAAGAAGGATTGTGAAACCGATGTACTCTGGGTGTCACGAGTTAAGTGTGCAGCAGTGCTCTGGGCTGCTGTGTGTGTGGTGTGTGTGTGTCTGTGCCTGGAATGTGTGAGCCAAGTGGAGAGTGTGGCTGGTACCGAACCAGCTGCAGGCTGCCGATCACGTGACGCGGACCAGCCGCCCCATGCGTGACACTCACGTGACACGGGCGGACCTGACCTGCCCTTTGTGGCTTCTCCCGGCCCTGCGCCTGCGTGTGTGGTGGTGGTAGTCGGGTGGGGGGGGAAGCGGCGAATCACGTGACGTGACGCGGATTAGCCGCCGCTGCCTGCGTGCGTGGGTGGGTGGGCGGTTGGTTGGTTGGTTGGCGGGTCACGTGTCGCGGAGCAGCGGCCGCCGCGGCGCTCAGATTGGACGGCGTGTCACCTGACGCGCGCGACCGGCTTCGCGCACTCGGCGGGGCGGTGGTGGTGTGTGTGCGTGCGTGCGTGCGTGCGCGTGTGGGGGGGGGGGGGGAAGCACGTGACGCGGGCGTCGGCAGGTCACGTGAGGAGGGTCGAAGCCCGGGCTCCTGATACTTGCCGCTGCCGCCGAGGAGGAGCGAGCGCGCCGCCCCCCCCCTTTTTTTTTCTCTCTCTCCCCCCTTCCTCCTCCTCCTCCTCCCTCTCTCTATTTTCTCTCTCTTTTTCTCCCCCGCCCCTCCTCCCTCCCTTTCCCCCCTCCCCCCCCCCCTCCCTCCCTTCTCTCTTCACACTCCTCCCTCCCTCCCTCCTCCGCTCTGTGTGTGTTCAATGGACGAAAACTGCGGCCCTGAGCAGCTTTCGGCTCTTTCCCTCGCCAATGGAGGAGACGCCGCCCAGCACGCCGGGGACTTCATCACCAGAGTAAGCGATGCCTCAGAGAGCGAGAAGAAGAAGAAAAAGAAGAAGAAGAAAGCAGGTCAGAGACCGAGAAATAATAACCTGATTTATACGTGGGCGCCCGCGCCCGCCCGCCCGCGCGCGCGTGTGTGTGTGTACAATACATATATATCCCGAAGGAAGGCAGAGGGAAGGAAGGAAGGAAAGAAAGAGCGGGAGAGAGAAAGAGAGAGAGAGAGAAAGAGAAAGAGAAAGAAAGAAAGCGGGGAAGAGGCAGGCAATGGTGACCTTGGCTTCCATGATTTGTTGGCCGTCTCTAGGCCTCGGGGGTTAGGTGACGAGAGAGAGAGAGAGAGAGTGAGTTGAGTGTGTGTATGTATGTGTGTGTTTGTGAGGTAATTTTTTTTTAATCTCCTCAACTCCGAGCTGCCGCCGGTCTCCCGGGCCGGGTCGGGCCTAGGCTGGGCCTTGGCCTGGGTGGGTGGGTGGGGAAGAGGAGGGAGGCGATGCCGGTGCGCTGGAATGTTCTGGCACTATTTCCTGTCCGCCATGTTGGCGGCTTGTGGAGGGGGGGGGGGGGTTCTTTTTTGGGGGAGGAGGGGGTGGGATGATTGTGGTGGGGAGAAAGCGCAGTGGCTGCAAATAATGACACGGGAGGATTTCTTGACCGAGTTATCTGCACGAGAGACACTCGCGCTCACCGAGAGAGAGAGAGAGAGAGAGAGGGGCGGTTGGCGCTCTCCCCCAGACCCGCTTCTACCTTCTCTCCCCCTCTCTCCCTCCCTCCTGTTGCTGAATAAAACACGGGTGTGTATTTCCCATCATTTCTATCACTCCCGGAAGGGGGTGAGGTTGTGTTTTTTTGTATGGGGGGGGGGGGGGGGACGCGGGAAGGGAGAGGGGGGGAGAGAGAGGGGGGGTGTCCTCGGTCATTTTTATTTTATTTCCGTGCCAGCTGTGAGCCACAAGAGGCTGGATTTGCGACCCTCTTGTCACAGCACCTTGGGGGGAGCATTGGATATTCCTCCCCAACATCTCCCCCCCCCCCTCCCTCTCCTCTCCCCCCTCTCTTCTCCCCCCCTCTCTATCTCCCCCCCTCTCTATCTCCCCCCCCCTCTATCTCCCCCTCTCTCTCCTCTCCCTCCTCCTCTATCTCCCTCCTCCTCTATCTCCCCCCCTCCTCCTCTCCTCCTCTCCCTCCCCCTCTCTCTCCTCTCCCCCTCCTCTATCTCCCCCCTCCTCTATCTCCCCCCCTCCTCCTCTCCCCCCTCTCCTCCTCTCCCTCCCCCTCTCTCCTCTCCCCCTCCTCTATCTCCCCCTCCTCTATCTCCCCCCCGCCCCTCCTCTCTCCCTCTTCCTCTCTCTGCCCTCTTCCTTCTCTTTCTGCCCCCCACCCCCTTCCCTCCCTTCCTTCTCTCTCACTTCCCCCTCTCTTTCTCTTGAGGCAGCGATTTCTGTTTCCAGATCCTTCGCTGAGTTTCTCGGTCTCTTTTTATAGAACCCTCTCAAGTCGTTTTCGTATCGTGATCCGTTTCCGTGAGTGTGTGTGTGGTTTTTTTTCCTCCCCACACCCCCCCCCCCCAAAAAAAAGAGGGGGGGGGGGGGAGAGAAAAAAAAATCGCTCGACTTGAGTGAAAGATGTAATTTCACGCCTTTTTATATCATGAAACGTATTTTTTTTTAAAAAAAGAAAAAGTCATTCGGTTTAGGCCGCCGCTCACTATTTGGCAGGTGTGGTGTGTGCCACAGAGCGTTTGCTTGCAACGTGGGAAGGTCTGTAATAAGGGCGGGGAAGGGTCTGGCCTCAATCGGGAGAATCGGGCTGCACCGTACATTAACCTCTTAAACTCAGACTGGTTTAAGGTAAAAGGGCCGCCCCGTGATAAACATTTGACTAATATTTGCAGAGAGAAAAAAAATACGTCTTGCGAAAGCTTTTGTGGAGCACAGCCACTTTTTTTTAAAAAAAAAGAGAGAGAAAATTAAGCCGGCCTCAGTCAAGGCCTACTAAAGAAATGCATGCACAGGAGATAAGTAAAATTGCGTAAGTACTCAGGCTGTAAACCAATCATTTTTATTTCTTTTTTTTAAAAAAAAAGTTTTGCTGCGTTTAAATATTTTAAGCGTTTCTGTTTACGGGGCTTGCGTTTATAGATCACATTTGAAGTGAAACTACTGTTTTCAATTCATCCATTGACAGGTTGTAGCGAAGGATTCGTGTGTGTTGCATTATTAAGCCCAATTTCAAATTACATTTTCAAATGCACTTTTTGAACAGGAGGTGGATCTAAATATTTTGGAACTTGTAAACAGATTAGGTGCTTTCATGTGTATTATAACGCTCCATTGAAACATTTTGATGCAAATAAATTATTATATGAGGTGACTAATACACAATCAACATTGAATACTGTATTTAGTAATATTTCTATACTTCTTTCTTATGTACATAACGAATGTGGGCATCACCTTTAATGAACATAGACAATAGTTAGATTACTTGCTCTCGTACTAGGCTGAGTTAAAATAGCATTTGCTGGACTGTGGGCCTAGAATCTTGGTTCCAACAATGGATGGAGGCAAGGACAACGTTGCAGTAATGAGTCATCATTCTGGTATTCATATTTGCCTCGAGAGAAACAGCAGATCAGACTCATTTAAAACTGGTAAACCAATGTTGGGATTCTCTTTCCTTTTCACTATTCTTCCCTGTTCCCTGCCTGTATGAAGCTTCCAGCCGGAAGGTGAGAAGTATTCTCCTGAGTGGAGTCAATGCTGAATCCATTTGATCCAAACTTGATAGTGTAATGGAGGTTTAATGCATTAGCTTCAATTTATCCAGGTTATATGTAAGGATCAAAATGAAACCTCACTGCCAGCCAGTGAAGTAAACTTAGGATTTAAGGATATTGTTTTCGTTGTTTGTATTACCATTCAATGGTTAACTTTTTGAATGGAGGAACATTGTAGAAATATATGACCTAGAAGGCAACATTCCACTAAGTCACACCCAAGTAGCTAAGGAAAGCAGAGTTATCACAACTGGAAGTCCTTCAAGGGGCTGGCTTGATGAGTTGAATTCTTTTTCCTGTTTCTACGGAAAGGTTCTGCAACCTTGTTTTAGAAGTTCTTTCATGAATTGCACTGGTGATTGTTTCTAAATGCAAAATATATCTTTAATAATACAGCTAGTAATTCATGAACAACCATTTACATAGTGGTAGGAGGACATCTCAAAGCACTTCACGCAACTGACTGGGAGCTCAAGTTAGCCAGGGTAGGTGAAAAATGGGCAAACCCATGATCGAAGAGGGAAGTTTGAAGGTTGAGAGAGAGGGTATAAGGTGGAGGAACTCTGGGATAAAGGATGAGAGAGCCTGGGATACAATGGCTGATGGCATGCTCACCAATGGAATGGTAGGTGGAGTACGTAAAGCAGATCAGTGTTTGCTGAGTGAAGGGAGTGGCTTGGGCAGTGGGGTTTCAGGAGGTCGCAGAGATAGGGTGGGGTGAGACTACAGCCACTTGAAAGTGAGGACAAGAATCGTGAACTTGATTCACTGGGAGATGGGGAGCCAGTGGAGGCAAGGATGGGTGGGGGGGGAGATTGTGGAACCTGATGTGGGAGAGGCTGCAAAGTTCTGAGAGGCCTGCAGCTTGTGCAGAGAAGAGCAGGGTTTTTCAGTAGTCGAGCTGATGTTGTTGAGAAAGTGAGAAAAGGCAGAGCAAATGAGAGCCAGGATGCAAGGGTAGTTGGCGGGGTGAGGATTGAACTGTTGGATGTCTATTGAAGGTACCAGGCAGCTAGTCTGCTAATGTTTAAATTCTGTTTTTATCGAAGGTGATTTGCAAGTACATTAGAACACTATTAATGTCCCAGATGAAACATCACACGTAGGGTTTAGGCCTTATTGGGTTTAAAAAATCTTACTAGAGAATATTTTTTGGGGTGGGGCAATTCTCTGTGGAGAACATGCCAGGCGTAAAGTCTTGTGTGGAATAGAGGTATTCAGGAAATACAATTCAGTGGGGTTCTCTTTGCACCTCCATTGATATTTTATTTTGCCTTTTCACAAGGCTGGTCCTGACAGCACTGTGCAATGAATTTTTTGCAGGAGTTTAGAGAAAGAAGGAAACTTTCAATGCCACTTGTTACTGGGACGCAGGTGAAAGAATAATAATAAATCCTTTTGGGGTGGGCACGCAAAAATAAATACTGTTGTACTGTTTAGCCTTTGGGCTAAATTAATATAGTTTTAATCTTGCATTTTTTTCATGCAGTTAAAGCTCTGATTTCTATTGTAGTGTTTTGAGATAATTAGGAAAACAAACCTTCACAGGCTTTAAAAATCTCTTGAACGACAAGCTGATCACAGCGACAAATTGGCAATGACTTCTAGCAAATGTTTAAAGCTGTGCTGTACAGAGAAGTTGTTCTCGGTAAACCTTGTTTACACCAATATCTAGACATTTAATATGGAGATAGTGAACAAAAAGGTCTCTGCTTTTTGTCTGCTGGTTGTCAGTTATCGCAGTTGTGCCATTGACAGAGAAACTTCTCATCCATCCCTCACAATTCCGGTATCGTTGACGGATTTATAAGTATTGGATATGGTCCAAGATGGAGTATTTGATGGAGTCCCAAATACAGTTTAGGAAAGTCGAGGTAAGGTCCATAAATAGTAAAAGATTTTGGTTATGCTTTTTTAAAAATCCTGTGCAGAAAACTGAAGTGCTTTGAGGTGTTTCTGTGTGACAGGTACTATTATCAAATTAAGCATTATTACAATGAACTGTTTCTGCGTTTTAAAGTTCACACAACTTGCTCAAGCTGGCAAGGGGAGGTGAAAAGTGGGCAAAACCATGATCGAAGAGGGAAGTTTGAAGGTTGAGAGGGAGGGTACAAGGGAGGGAGGGTAAAGGCCTTTACATTAAACAATTCTGAGTTTCTACTTTCAGCATTCAAAACAATAAATCCTTGCAATTGGTTGGATTTCACTGTAAAGTGTAGTAACTGTATTCGTAGGCAAACATGCCAGCCATTTTACAGACATCAGTGTATCATTTAATATCTGAAGGATTATTGGGAAGGACACTGGGAGAAAAGCATTTTAAATAGTCACTTGGGATCATTAACAGCCATCTGAATAGGCAGACAGACTTGGTTTTATGTCTCATTTAAAGGACAGCACCTCTTGTAGCATTACATTGGAGTGTTAACCTAGGCTATGAGCTTAAGTCCTGACACGGGCATTTGAATCCATGACGACCTGATTTGGAGCCATGAGTGCTATCAACTGAGCCAGGCTGACAACTATCAAGCATTCTAAGTTCAGGAGTGGGATAGAGTCTGTCCCAATTTCAATACAGTCCCTCTCCTCCTCCTTCCCCCACTAGTATGAATTATTTTCCATTTAATGTGGGCTGTGGCCTTCTTTAGCAAGACTCCAAAATGGTTGTCCACTTTGTTCTTTAAATGTACACCCATTAAGGAGAAGGACTGAGACTGCCCATATAATCAAATGGAGAAACCAAGTCATCTTGTTAAACACAGCTTCTGTGCTTAGTTTATACTGTGGATTGCAAATCACTTTGTCATGAAAGGCATACTATAAATTGAAGCTGAATACTGTGAAAGCTGCTGAAACCACTTGAGATAGTTTTGGAAGCACATTTAAGTTATCTGCATCCAGTACAATTTTTTTCTGGATGCATTTGAACCATAGAGGTGCAGATGTTTTTGTAGTCTGTTTTTGTACCATTTGGGTTCATGGGATTTTTTAAAATATTAAAGAATTGGTCTAAAAATGGTTAATGCCTGAGTTCTGAGAATATGAGTAGTTATGCACGTGCAGAACTTTTTTTATCCCCTCTTCAATGCAATTAAGAGCAGGAAGTATAAAGCAGATTTTCCTGCTCCTAATCATTTTATTGCTGGAAATGTTCTTGCTTTTCTAATAGAAGTTATTCAGATAAGGAGGACCTAGATTTCTTAAAGGAGTTGAAGGGTCAAGACTTAAGTGGCAAAATTGCTAATATGTTGCTATATTTTATCAGCAAAAATAGACAGCTGACTAGTTTCCCTTTTCTATGTTTAATGAACATAATTGGGGCTAATTAATAGTTTAAATAAAAAGCTTGTTCTTAGCCAAAATTCTCCAGTAGGGGTCCTTTTGCACAGCTCATTTAGAAAGATTGGCCAATGTAACCCCCTCCTTATTTTAGAAGTCAGTTGGCATTTTCCTGATTTGCCAAGACCACTAGTGCTTTTGTTGTTTTTAATCTTATCCCATTATCTATAATTTAAATCATGATTTCATAATCCCAGTATATATTTGAATAATATCAGCGATTTTACATATGCCAGTAAAGCTTTACAATTTATGCTACGTTTCTGATTACTTTCTTATTACTGTAATAATTGTCCGTTATAATAACAAATTGTGTTTATATAGCACCTGACATGCGCTGCAGAGTTCTGGATAATCTGCAGTTTGGGGAAGGAAGAGTTGGGAAGTCCAGCCAGGTGTAATGAAAGGATGGATTGAGGGTCTCAGCAGACTGAGGGGAGATCCCGACAGTAGCAGAGGTGAAGGCAAACGGGTCATGGCAGGATGTGGGGTTTAAAGGACAGTTGACGTTCAAACAAGACACCGAGGTTCCGTACTGGCTCTGTGAGATGGAAAGTGCATCCATGAATAGTGATGCTGTCAGCTATTCAGGCACTGACGGGAGCCAAGCAGTAGTAGGGCCTCAGTCTTGTTGACATTCAACTGGAAAAAATTGGCTCTCATCCAGGACTTGATGTCTGACAAACGCTCAGCAGTGGTCCTGGAGTTGAGGGTAGAAGCAGAGAGATTGATGTGGGTATGATCTGTATCCACGTGGAAGTTAGCCCCATGCCTGCGGATGATGTCCCCTTGCAGGAGCAAGTCGATATTGAGAGGACACAGGGCAGAGGCCTGGGGGATACCGCATGTGATTGTGCGAGGGATGGAGAGAAGCTGTTGATAGAAACAAAGTGGGAAAGGTGGGAACAGAACTAGGTAAGGACAGAACCATGAAGGTGGAGCTGAGAGGAGAGGTGATGGAGAATAGAGTGGTCGAAGGTGTCGAAAGTGGCAGAGAGATCGGGGAGGATGAGGAGACAGAGCTCTGATTACAAATGGACAGAATGTCATAACGTTCAATTTCAGTGGACGGTGGTGGGGGAGAAGGAGAGGCACATCTGAGTCATAGTATTTGCAAATTACCTACTTTTTATGCGCCCCGCTTTGTCTAACTTGTGCACCAGTCTGCAGTACTTGCAGTGTAGGTTACAGGAAGGAGAAAGGTGTCTCTCACTACTTAATTTCCTTCCACTCCATGTGCAAGTACCAGGCCTGCTGGGAACCAGCCTTGCCGTATGAGTTGTCACAACAGTATGCTCACTTTCAACAGCTCTGTTCCATGTTGCATTGCAGTGCAGATGAGCTGCTGTCGAGCCTTTTACATTTTTGCCTATTAGAGGAAATCAATAAAATAAATTCCCCCAATTAGAAGTCAGCTGAGGTCTGTGATTTGAAAACTGATGAGTCCAGGTGTTTTTAGGAGCTCTGACAGTCTTGCTAACAACAAATGGAATGCCTGGAATTCACAATATGAAAGATGAAACGCGAGGTAATAATCTATTCGATTACCTCACGTTTTTCATTGAATCTTCTACCAAAGATCCTCTTATAGCCAGCAACCCCTCGGGCATGATGTGTCTTCAATTTCAATTTTCTCTTCTCAGCCTAACGAACTTGGACTCTTGTGTATTGTACTTTTGAAAACTGCTTGTATTTTCAGCATTGCTTACCTACTCTAGGTTGACAACTGTAGCTGCTGACAATTTGCACGCTATCATATTGCTTACATGCTTCAAACAAGTGCGTTGGTATTGGACGGTTTTAAAAATGATCTCGCAGGATATTCTGTAACTATTTCAAGGAACTGGTATTTAAAACTGAAAGCACTGCTGTTGACACGTCACTACTTTAAACATAAATATTTGGTCAGATGGCCTCCTCAATATTCTCGTGAGAAGAATAAATTCCAAGTTTGTGGGACATGTTGCAGAATGTTGATTTTGCCCGTTCTGTTTAGATGCCCACTCTTAAATTCCGTTTAATTGCACAGCATGCTTGATAACAAAACGTTAGATTGGATAAATTAAAGTAAGCTGTGAAATGTCTTGAATTAATTGAGAACTAATTGTTGTCTCGTTTTATTAGGTTTTGAGGAATTAAATGGTGATGCTGGATCGGAAGACGAGGTTGAGTCTGCAGCAAGCCAAGAAATTGAAGAGTTGAACTTGGTTTCTTGCAGTGCAGCTAATGGCAGGAAGCAATTTTTAGACACTAATTTCAACCCCAGATACACAGCAAAAGCTATTGCACACAGCAGAGTGAGCACCAAAACAAAGAATTATAATCAGAAAAACAGTATGGACAAAAAGAATGACAAAGCCTTTGAAAATAAGTCTAGGGATAGTAGAGGTATTGAGAAAAAAGATGCATTGTCTTTTCTCAACGGTGTTATAACGAACAACTCTGGTTACATTACAAATGGATTTTCTGTCAAGGCTTCAGCAGATAATGATGGTAGTGGTTCTGAGAGTGGGTACACCACAACGAAAAAGCGCAAAGGCAGAAGGAATAGCGACAAAGGTGCTGAGAACTTGAATCTATTTCAAGACAAAACCATGCATCACGAGGGGAATCCAATAGCTCCGCAGCAAGATCTTGAGAATATGAAATTTGAGGCAACTGAACACAAGGCAAATCGTTTGGAAAATACTAAACCTAGTGGCCGGTATGAACCTGTAACAGTTAGTGTGACTGGAGCTCGTGGAAAGGCAGGAATTGGTGACACTCAGCGAAAAAACTCTGATGGAAAACTTAGTTGTAGTAAAAAGTACGAAGAACGACCTAAATCAAAGGCAGCATCTGTAACTTCAAAGGAAGACTCTTGGACCCTCTTTAAACCACCTCCAGTCTTCCCGGTAGACAACAGTAGTGCAAAAACTGTTCCCAAGATTAGTTATGCAAGTAAAGTTAAAGAGAACCTCAACAAATCACCCCCAAATCAGTCGGCTGTGGACACTCAGGCACTAGCTTCAGGTCGATTGTCGCAGGTTCCCATGTCTGCTGTGAAAGCTGTCACCTCATCTAGCTTTTCCAATGGTTTGGCTTCTGGAGTGACTGATGGGAATATTGGTGCTTCAGGAGTCCAGACAGTTACTGCTGCTAATACTGTAGTGCATGTCTCATCTGGGAGTGAAACTTTGTTGTCCTCTGATGGCTTGGACCAAGTGACTGCAGAACAGAAAAAGCAGGGTCTCTTTGTCTACCCTTCAAATATGCAATCGGTGCTACCCAGCACAGCACAGGCGGAGCTGCCATCCCAGACAACCCAGCAGAACCTGGGGGATATTTTCCAGAACCAGTGGGGGTTATCTTTCATAAATGAGCCAAGTGCTGGCCCTGAGCTAGCCACTGTAAGATCTGTGGATAACCCACCTTTGGAGGTGACCTTTCAAGCTGAATGTGCTGCCACTTTGGTTTCACAGTGTGCTGAACTGTTGTCCCCGGGATCTGAAATTCCTATGTTTCCAAAGGCTTATGAACTCGACAAACGGACTAGCCCTCAGGTTCTCAGCAGCGTCGTGAAGACTGGCATGGTGGACTGCTGGTGTTTCTGCTGAGGGGGTGGCCCTGTCCGTGGAGCCCCATGTTACCGAACTGCAAAAGGTGGCTGCTTCAAGCCAAGGTGCAATAGTTTTTGTCCCTAAGGACTTTGGGAATGAAACACCACAACGGGCCTCTCCTACCAATCCTTTGGTGCCGTCAGCCAAAGAACACACAAGGTACCACAGAGGCTTTGACAGAAAAGACAGCTTGGGTTCATTTGACTTGAAGTCTGCTGTTATGTATCACACTAAAGGTAATATTTTAATGAAGTGCGTGTTCTCAAAATAAATTTGAGCATCACGAACTGCATCTTTTTTCTAAGGGTTTGAGTATGTTGCAAATAAGACTTTGAAAATAAAATAATCTGATATAATGTTGCAAATAAGACTGAAAATAAAATAACCTGATATAATTTCGAAAGGGATACTCGGGCCCAAAATATTGTCAGCTGAAAAGCTTCTTTGTTCTTTTCCCCTCTACCCATTTAGAATGTGGTTTGAATTCAATACCAAAATCGGTATTGGTTTTGGCCCATTGACTGGGAATCTAATCTATCCCTCAGATTTACTGAACCTGTGTGTAAACTGTGTGTAAAATTGGGTTAGAGATTCAGCTTCCCACATCCGATCCCTGACCAGGACCACTTTTCTCCGTCACATTGCCCACCGCCGACCATATCTCACTCCCAAAGCAGATGAAATCCTCATTCATGCATTCGTCACCTTGTGCCTTGATTTTGCCAGTGCCCTCCACGCTGGTTTCCCCAACTCCACTTTTCACAAAATCCAATTAATTCAAGACTCCGCCACGCATATACTCACCCGTACCAAACTCCAAACCCCTTTCACATCAGTCCTTGCCAGGCACCACTGGCTCCCTATTATAGAACGGGTCAAATTCAAGATCCTCACGCTCATCTACAAATTACTTTGTGCCCTGGCAGCTCCCTACCTCTTCAACCTGCTTACTCTCCATTCCACTACCCACCCCCTCTGCTCGGCTATGGCCTCCTGCTTGTCCCTCGTCCCCTCGACTCGTTGGCAGCCATACTCTCAGTTGCTACACCATGAAACTTCGTCACTCTCTCCCTCAATCTCTGCCTTGCCTCCTCCATTTTCAGTTCACGCCTGAAAAACCTTTCTCTTCAACTTTGCCTAGAGTGGTCTACCCTGGCTCGGAGTCAGGCTCCACCTCAGTTAAGCACTCCAAGATGCTATCCTGTGTGAAGTTTGCTGTATAAATGCAAGTTGTTGTTATTGGTCAAATTTTAAGAACTGGAGTATACCTTTCTCTGTATATAGAGGAAGCTGCCCTACATTTGCGTTAATGAGTCTAATCATTTTCTTATCCATTTATATGCACTTTTAGCGGAAGTCACTGGTGAGTAATCAGGAAGAAACAGCTAATTTATTGCTCTGAGGTGAAGGTGTCATTTGGTACTCCAGCTAATTTGTGCACAGGCCAGGTTTCAAAGCTTGGATCTGATTTATATGGCTCAGGATTGTGTTGTGCACTCACTTACCACTTTAGCTGTTGGAGTATATTGTAACACAAAAGGAAAGTTGACCCCTTTTTCAGTACATGTTTGACATAGTCGAGACTCCAAACTATGAAGCAAAGAAACTGGGTAAATGAAAGTTACACATGAAAATGGGGTTGTAGTATATGCATTTGAGGAAACACAATTGTGGGCAGTTAAATATTTTAACTTATGTAATCCCGAACTTGTAGGTGGTTAATAATTGGTCCAACTGACTAATTTTAAGCATCAAAGGTGTAAATTCAGCCAAAATTTGTTCTTTAAAAACCGATAGTCTTCAATGACATCTTTAAATTCAAAAATGCCATGTTACTATTTTCCATGTGCATGTTAGGGTTTCATAGGCAATGAAATTGACCCATAGAATCAAATGTCATTTGTGGCTTTGGCTTTAGAAATACTGTGGATACTGTCTGGAGCTAGAAGAAGAGGACAAATCGCTGATAACAATCCCTTCTATTTCACGTTACGAGGACGTCTCAAAGCAATTTATTGCAAAGTGTTGTGACTATTTTCTTAGGTGTCTGTGGCAGCCAATTTGCATAACCATGTTTATAGTTCTGTGTAGTGGGCAGCAAAAGAGTTTTTGCAATTTAGCAATTAATTTTAGAGTACCTCAGACATTGTGTTGCACTGTCCAATAAAGCAGAATCTAATTAACCTCTTGCTTTAGAAGATTTCAGCGACCGACGACACAATTTGTAATTAGCTGTTTACCGTGCTTTTCCTAGGTGATACAGAAGGCGACGGCACTTACATATAACCCGAGTATTTAAAGCCATGTATTGTTTACAGTTGCACATTTGGAAAAAAATTCTCCTTTTCTTTCCATTTCTCCTTTTGTAAATGCACTGCTTCGTGGCTGGGGTACCATGTGAAAGATGCCTGCTGTTGGCTAACTATTTGTGTTTGCTAACTATTTTATTTGAGTATCAAATTTGAACCCAATCTATTTTTCCTGCAATGTTCACATTTGGCCAGTGAGGGGCATTGATTGAGATCAGCAGCATAAACCCGTGACATACTTTTCCCTCCATAACCGAGGAGGTACCAAAGCTAATTTTTAGTTCTCCCAACTACAGCCTTTGCTTTAAAAAGATTACTGTGCAGATCTCTCTTGTGACATCTTTGTCTGTTTGTGCTACAGTAGATTCCTCCCTCATCCAGAACTCTGCAGCCAGTGTCCTCTCCTGCACCAGGCTCCGTGACCCTATCACTTCCATCCTCGCCCGACTCCACTGGCTTCCCATCACGCAGAGGATACAGTTCAAGATCCTGGTCCTCGCCTTCAAAGTCCTCTGTGGCCTTGTTTCCCCCCACCTCTGCGACCTCCTAACCCCCTACCATCCTGCCCACTCCCTCCATTCAGTGGGCTACAGCCTGCTTCACGTCCCCTACCTCGCCTGCCCCACCATAGGCGGGCGGGCCTTCTGCCACTCTGCCCCCACCGTCTGGTACTCCATCCCACAGTCCCTCCACCTCACTCACTCCCTCGCCCTCTCCCTTGCCTCCTTCAAGACCCATCGACCGTGCATTCGATCACCCTACTTCCCCTGCCCTCCACCCTTCCCAATCCCGACTCCCAGCTCGGGTCCAAAACACTGACTGCCCAGCCCCCTGGGACGGCCTCCTGATGTGAAAGGCGCTATACAAATGTAATTTTGTTGTTGTGGTAGCGAGTACCTACCAGTCCATTGTTAGAGCTTGGAAAATGTTTAAACACTTTGTGCATGGGTACTTGTGTTGAAAGCTGGAAATTGCAGTCTACAATGGCATACTTCAGAGGCACTGGTTCAGCACCTGAACTTGTGTGGGAACATAGGACAGATAGGGTAAAACGTATTTCTTAATCGCATATTATCAAATTTGTTTAATGGTAAGCAGAATATTACGTCCATCTCCCTTCCTTCCCCCAAACCCCCGCCCAATGTCTAGTCTTGACGTTGCACTTAAAATTACTCTTCCATCTATTGGATCAGCACCAAAAATAGATTTAATATGGCTGCTAACTTTATTTTTAGTCCCTTGAATGCTTCTAAGAAGAAATAACTGACAGATGTAACACCAGCTGTATTTATGCACTTACTCTGCCTTTTTAATGCTGCTCTTATATTGCACATTTGATGAACGGTGCAATGTTGGCAGCCATAGTAGCTCAGGAGCTTTCCCCGTGGGCTATTTGAAAAATCTGAGGCTGGCTGTTGCATAATGTTTTTTAATATACATTAAAAAAGATGCTGCATAATTTTGGAACCCTCACATGTGCAACATGTTGAAATCAGCTGTTTCCTTGGCCTCGTATTTCAACTATTTAAAGCGGGACGTGTAAGATGGATTTCCCATTTGCTACCCTGTAGCTTCACTCCCAGCTGCTTTAATGGGATGAGTTGCCTTTTTTTTAAAATCTTGTTGCTCTAAAAATCTTCAAATGGAACGTGGCACTGAATTGATCAAGAGCAGCATGGGCCAGAGTTGACCCAATTCTGGTTGTTTCTATACATGGCTATTTAATGATTCATAGGACGACAGGAAATGCAGCACGCTTTTTTAATACTGTACGCTGGCTCTGCTGATGACTTAGCAAAGACACGAGTGGGCTGCGTTAGTTAATCTTAGCCAAGCCGAGAGTGGGGCTGCTCAATGTCCCTGTACTAGGGAAGGGTAAGATCAGCTAGGGGTCTGCCTGTCTCTAATTGATATGCAGTGACCCCCTTCTTGAAATTGCATTGGGTAAGGTCATGCTTCATTTGGATTATGATGCTTCCTATGAATGAACATACTGCAGACACTGGGTCTTCAAACTTGATTGAGAGTTGGCGTTAGGGAGGGTGGTCATTGCTGAGTGAATCATACTTCGGGATTGCTTTCAGGATTGAGATAATAATAATGATAATCCTTGCATCTGATAGAGCACCTTATCACGTCTTTGAGACGTCTGAGGTGGGTGGGGAAGAGCTATGGTGATAGATGTTTCGATACATTTATAGCCTTTAATTAGAAGTGGTGCTATGACTTGCAATTTTTAAAGCCTGCTAAGTATTAGTGATAGAAATCCATGTTTAAAAATAGTCTATGAAGCAATTTTTAATGCGTGAGCCTAGGCGATTGGTGTCAGCAAGCTATTTTACTGGCAAAGCCCTCACAGCCAAGTCTGATCTCGTTTATACCTGACACTTTCCAACAACAAGGATCGCTGAACGTAGACATGAACAGGATTCCTGGCTGACATTTCCTTTGCCCTTTAGTACAGGGGTAATAAGGCCTGGTGTAGTGTTCTCTCTCTCTCTCTCTCTCCCTCCCCCACCCAACTGCTACCCTGACCTGCATTTTACAACGTTTTGGGTTTACAAAAAAATTTGACATTTGTACTTTTTGCTTTTTGAAAGATTCCCTCTTTACTGCAAATCAGTTAATGAAGATTTATTATTTTGGTCTGAAAGAATAAAGGCTCATTAACTACTAAATGGTGCATATCTAGCTCACAGGTCACTTGGCAAGCTTGGAAGAAATATTTTTAAACCTCGTGTTCAATTTTTTTTAAAAGATAGTAGAAAGTTAGATAGCCTTGGGTTTTCAGACTTAACTGTTCAGTCGGTGTACACTTAGCTCAATATCTTGCATAAAGTATTTTAAGAACTTGGCAGCAACCTTTATCAAACCTAAAGCAGACCTTTTAGTTGATAGAGTTGCTGTAGCACTAATAATGCAGATACAAAAACAATGAACAAGGCTATTAAAGATAACCTAAGTGATCAGGTATATATTTTAATTGATAGAACAGTTTACATTTTTACGTTATTGAGACATTTTGATGTACTGCAAAAAGTTCTGTTGCAGACAGGTTCATTCCTAAGTTACTTTAGAGAAGTGTTTTCCAACTAAGGTTATAAAGCCCTCAAAATCCTGCAGTTACTGCTGTAAAGTTGCACAATAATTCATAAGCATAAGTAATTGTTTCTCTAAAAAGTTCAAACTTAAAAAGGCAGCAATTTTTCCCTTTACCTAATGGATGGATGTTAGCAGTTTTGTTTTGCTTCAGCAATGCTATAGAATCCAGCATCAGAGCATTTGCACAGTGAAATAGCGAGCAGTAAAAAAGAGACAAAATGGCACAAAACAGTGGATGGAACTAAGTGAGACGATAAGGAAGAACTGAATTATTTAGCAGCTTTGGTTACCAATGTGAAAATAGTTTTCATTGTTTACAATTTATTCCAATACAGCATTCATTCCTGAATGGCTGTCGCTCTGTATTCTGGCCCCACTAAACTCTTTCACGTTTTTTTTTCCTTCCCATCTGTTCTTTCTGTTTAGGGTATTGTCTCACTCTTTCAGTCGTCTACTCTTCTCTCCGCTTCAGTTACAGTTTTCATTCACTTACTTTCAGTTTCAATTCTCTTTATTCCTATGTATGTTTCACAATGATCTGGACTTGCACTAATTTGGGGTTATTGACCTGTAGTTCAAATCTATTGTTTGCCAGATCTATGAATGAAAAGTAAAGTAAATGAGGTGTGTAACTAAAATCCCTATTTGTTACAACGTCACAGCCTGCTTTATTCTGTCTGGTTTGTTAAAGAACAATTGGTGATACGATAACTAAAATAGGCATGATGCATTTTGGTTAGGCAGTGTTTTGATTAGTCGCTCTGTGGGTCCATTGAGAGAAAGGACGGAGAATGATTCAATTCTATCTCCATGAACCAGCGACTTCCTAATTGCAACTGAACTGCTGTGGGGTGGCATTAAGTAAAGATAAAGATTGCCTTCTGGTAACTAGCTATGGAGGTTTGGGATAAGATTGACCAACTGACCACAGACCAGGTGAGACCTTCATATTAAAAAAAATGTGGTCACTCAATCCACAGCTGTTTGTAGGACACTGCTGTGCGCAATCGGCTGCTGTGGTTTTCCCACAAAACACCCAATGACTTCACTTTACTGTATATCACAATGACATGATAAGGCACTATATCAAATGCAAGGATTATTATTAAAAGGAGATAGAACATTCTTATTGATTTTGTTACTTTTGTAGAAAACAAGAAACAACAAGATTGCATTTATAGAGCGCCTTTCACGTCGGGAGGACGTCCCAAGGCGCTGGACAGTTGGGTCGGGAAAGCATTTACTCTGGAAGTTTAAGGCGCTTGTGAGGAGGTAGTGGTTGTGTTAAAAAAAAAACATATTATAAGCTCTTTGAGATGTCCTAATGTGAAAGGCAATGTACAAATTTAAATTGTATGTAATAATTAATGGTTACGTAAACCCCTTTTTTGTAAATTAGTTAATGGGAGCTAGTTTTGAGTATTTGATTAAAATGTAACTGACATTGCAACAGGAACTCCTTATGCTGCTTTTTCGAATTGTCTTTAAACCCTTGCAGTTGGATGTAGTCGGATGTTATAAGCCCAATTAGAATGGTTTATATCTTATTGAAGTTGTATCTTTGTTCATGGATGTTAAACTTATTTTGGAAAGGCTTGTAAGCAGTTAACTCAGTATTAGTAATTTTTTTAATGGTTTGATATTTACTTCAATCCAACTTCTCTTTACATATATATTAAACTGGCTCCGGCCTTGTTTGTCTCTTGTGCCCTCCTTTCCACCATCAGTCTCCACACTTTCAGGCACTATCCTACGTCGGGGCATTATATAAATTCAAGTTGATACATGTGGGAAATTATTCTGAAACTTTTTCCCTGCAGTAAAACTTTCAGATATTAAAAACTATAAAAACAGTTTTGTTGCTTATAAATAGAAAATCCAAGTCAAGTGGTTTAGCTCAGCTTCCGTTTTTGCCAACTTGCCCTCTGCAGGAATTCCTGACTTGTTAGTCAGATATGGGGGGCTGAGGTCTTGTTGCAGCATATTTTCTCCCTTTGGGAATATTACAGTTGCTGCAGTATCAAAATTGTCGAATTCCTTACCCAACAATTGTGATTACAATTGGTGCAAGCAGTTTAAATAGTAGCCCCACTCTCGCCTTATCGGGGTAACCAGAGATGGACAATAAATGTAGTTTCTGCCAGCTTCATATACATCCCAGTGATTTAAAGAGGAAAGCGAATGACAAAAATGGTATTCAAAAAGTATGGGGCCCCAAAATAAGTACATATGATTTGATTTACAGTTTAAATATAGGTATTCATTAATTCTTTGATTTCTTTTTCAGAAATGGACTCTTTATGGAGCCTGCATAAACAAGGTAAGTGCACTCTGAATACCTGAAACTCGAAATAAAAGTAAAAATTGCACGATGAATAAGTTAAGTTAAATTTGCATAAATATCTCTATATAGTCTGCTTGTACAGTTTTCTCGCTGAAACCTGAGTGCTTAGGTTCTGATTTTGGTAAATCAATAATTGATAATTCAGATTTAGGTTGATTGGATTATCAGTGAATTATGAATGTGAATTGCACTTTTTAATTGCACTTCAAATTCTGTTTCATTCCATTTTTCTCTTGACCTCTGATTGAGGCGGTGATACATGTTGAATGCAGTTCTAATAATTATATGGTTTTACGGGTACATATTTTCTTTAAATTTTATACTGAAAGATTTCTTTTATTTTCAGATCCTTCAAGAGTAGTTACATATGATGAATCTATGGATCGTCCTGATCAATGAAGTCAGCTGAATGAACTGCCTGTTTTCATTGTTGCTGCAAGCCGCTGTCGGGGTGCTGTTATGCTCCTTTAAAATCATCATTTTAACAGTGGAACAGTTGAGGAGAATCATGAAAAATATTTTTTAAGAGCGACTGAATTTCAGACCGAGTGCATAGGGAGTCATACAGTTATTTTGGTGGACTCTGTGATTGGGTATTTAATGACCTCTGGTACAGAACTTATTACAAATGGAAAAAAAACATTAACCTGAATGCAATGATCAATGGTGGATTTTTTACCTAAATCTGGTTCTTAAGATCCTGCTGGTGTAGAGTCAGGCTCAGAATGAACCACTGAAGGGGCTGTCCCACTTCACAAAGACTGCATTTTGCTGTGAGTGCACCAAGATTCCACACGGGAAAACAGGATGATTCACAGAATTCTTTTTAAACCCAAAAAAAAGTAATGCTGGAATAATGCCTTGAAGTACAGTATGTATTTTCTGCAGTAAGGCGCTCGGCTTTTGCTGGGATTGAGATGGTCAGTTAGGCCTTGGGTGGGAGGGGCCGGGGGGGGAGGGGGGGAATTGTCTTAACTCATCACTGGGAAGAACTCAGAAATCTGAAAGTCATGGACAGCTGCGATATTAAGACAATGCGGTTCTGATTTTCACTGGTCAGAGAGACGCAATGTTCTACATGCGTAAAATGTATTGTGTGAAACTTGGTGGAGCAATTCAACTTAGGTATTTAATGTTGTACAATTCTTTCCCTCCTTAATTTTTTTTTAAAAAAATTGCCTTTGTATTAGGAACATAAACTGCACTGCTTCTGCTGTAGGGCCTTCATATTCACTGTCTTTCTCTAGTTCATTAACCATGGTTTTCAGTAGATTGTTTCCCTGTTGTGTATCTGGCCTTAAACTAGGATGAAAATGAGATTTATTTCAATTACAATGCCCACCTTTCCCTTTTTAATGCCACCTTGCTTTTTTTTTAAAGAAAAAATAACTCTTGCTTTTCATGAAGTATATGCCAGAACAATGCAACAGAGCATACAGTTTAAAAAAAATAAAATAAAAATTAGATAGTTTAGAGAGTTAAACTGTAAAATTGGATCACTCTCCTGCATTCTTTAGGCCTCTTACAGGACAATTTACGGTTTGTCTAAATTGACGGTGGTGATTTGGTTAATGAATTCTAACGCATTCTGTGTAGTCCACAGCTTTATTGCTGCTTCTAAACTCTTATTAAAAATATATTTTTAATATGGAAAACCTGCTTGGATTTTACAAATCAGCAAAGAGCTTTATGGCAATATTGGAAGTAAATAGTGTACGGACATGAACCTCTGAACATGCAGATGGTAGTAATTACACACTACAGCTTGTGTGGTAAGTAAGACTAGGTGCCAGAGTGGAGAGAGATATATTTTTTGAATGTTCCTGTGGCTTTATTCTGTGTCATGTAAATGTTCAATCTAATTTTTTTTAGTGTAACGGTGAAAAGTATGGAGCACTCTGTGCTGGACACCCCTCCTCAGACACTCGTGTTTTCTTTATTTTTTAGTTGTCCAAGCACTAGACTTGACGTAGTCCTCTTATTCGCTTAAAAAACTCAAATTCTGCAATGCCAAATACCTCTGCTTTTATTTTTAAATTGAGTGCTATTTTCTGGGGAGAAAGTGGTCAAAGACAGAAGCAGACTTTTTAGTTGGGAGTATTTTGTTTGATAAGGCTTAAAATCTCTCAAGAACGGTAGCCAGGTCAGAACATAAGGTCACCTGGCTTTTGGATACAGGATCTGTCCAGCATTGTAAACCTGAATTCTGGAAATGTACATTTGAATATGCCTTTGTGTACCCAAACGCAAATACAGGAACCACACTGTTCTTTCGAATCCTACTTGTAGAATGGCATGAAATTTCTTTGCAATTTATTTTGCCCGTCTGGTATTTTGTGCTTACAAGTACACATTATCACAAGGTTTTAACAAATAGCACCAGTAGTATTCAAGAACAGTAAACTATAAATAAAACAATTCACCATAGCAGGCAGTATTCATTTATAGATTGGAACAATTGCTTATTTTGCGTTAATGCACTTTGCCGGTAGAAATTTTTATGTGGCTAGCAACTTGAAATTTTTACTTGCAAATGTGAAACTGGATAATGTCAAACCTTGGATAGGAATAGATGTTTAATCCAGTCACGTCGTCAGTCATTGGTTTCTGGCGAAGGCTATATTACAATCCTTGATAGCAACTAGCTCTTGAGCTTGACTAACAGTTCCTCTTTCTTAGAGTAGGTAGTGGTCCAGCAGTCCAGTAAATGTTCATTAGTACTGTCGAATATTCTAGGGCCGCAGGACCACTAAGTAGGTCTGCCTAGGTTTGTTACGCTTAACCATCTGCGCTCTCTCACCCCCTCCCCTGTGTCCTCTCACAATTCTTCAATAAGCACTTAAGATTTCTTAAAACTTTTTAATCCGTTTCTATTATTTTTGGATAGGTATGTAAGTTTTAAGTACAGTTCGGTCAATTGTGACTATTCAGTACAGTGATGAATGCTAATGTGTTACTATTGTAGGTATAACATTTTCCGCCTCAAGAGTTGTTAGTACTGTAGCATAAACCAAATACAGTGTAGACTGTGGTGCCCCTTCTTCTATGAAGATAATTAAAACCTGGGAAGAGGGACTGAATGAATGTGTGTGTGCGTGATCTATACAGTATCTGGTGCATACGTCTGTTAGTATTCAGAATAAGAACTTAATTTATTTTGTGCCATGTGTTGATTTCGTTTCATCATTGAATAATGATCATCATAGAGGTCTAATTATTGCAGAATGGCACTAAGCAAGTAAAATAGCATAGGTTCTTTTAAATTGTTGCTAAGATACAAACTAATCATGGTTGAAATCTTTGATACTTATATTGTTTTTTTTAAAAAATAATTTTTTGTATTGCAATGTCAGTCCAGCTATGGGCCTTGCAGGTCAGCCTTTATTTCATTCCAGTCCCCATCTTCATGAATCCCTTTCTCCCCCACCCTGTGCCCCCCCCCCCCCCCGCCCTCCCAACACAAAGGCTGCCAGAACCTCAGGGAGTTAAGCTAGGCTGTCAACATGCGTGTGTGCTCCATATTCCCACCCATATTCATCGTAAGAAATGTATAAATCCCATGATTTCGCAATTTTTTTTTTGTTCTAGTCTGGAATGTATGGTTTACCAGGGCTTATATTAGTTTGTGGTCTTGTCTGTACATCACCATAAAGTTAAATGTATTTTTAAAAAAANTGCTTGCTATTGTTACTAATTATGTTAATTTAAAAACAAAACTTTAAAAAAAATCTTAATGTAAGTAGGGGATTGAACATCTGATCTGCAGGAACCTTTTCTGGCAGTTTGCAGCTTGTGGGACCCCCTGACTGTTTAAACCTTGGGCTATTGTTCAAGGTTTCTTTTTTTGTCAAATGACTGTTTACAGTAAAGGGTGGGGTTTGGGTTGTATGTGAATAACTAAAAGCTGCTACATTGAGTTTCTGACCAAGTGTGGGACAGTGGGGGTGGGGGGTCAGCATGAAAACATACAACAGGACGCATATGCATACAACATGGGAAGCTGAAGGCTGGAGTTTTAAGGGGCATCATTTTACAGCCCTCTTTGACACATTTTAATACAGCACTTCATAACTATTTGGTTCAGTGCATTTTATATCGCCAGAGTGAAGTTGTTGACTGGAACATGTTGCTGTGTTGAAATGCAGTATTAATCCTAACTAGTACTTGCCAGTGAAGCAAATCATTGGTTCTGCACTCCCAAAAGGAAAGCATGATCAAGTTAGTGTGCAAGTTTTTTTTTCATTTCAGGAAATGGGTCCAGTACTCTTTCCATCATCTAGCTGAATTAACTAAAATATTTCCTTGTGTTGAGTTTTTGTATGTGTCGGGGAACAGCAGCTATGTCTGTGCTTCCTGGCTTTAATTGCTAATATTCCAAGCCGTTGAACATCATTGGGGGTGACTTGCCCACTGAATAAAACGTCTCTCCTTACCAACCGGTAAAAATCTGAAGACAAAAGATTGAAAATAAATGATGTTAAAAGGGATGTTGTTCATCAGCATAAAATCAAAGGACTAGTGTAGGAAATTGGAATATTTTGCACATCTATTATAAATGCAATTAATTTGAAAGGTCTTTAAAACCAGAAGAGGGTAACAGTGTCATTTTTTTAAAAAAAAGTAGAGGTAGCTCGCTTGTTCCCAAGTCTAGGTTTGAAGGTTGTGCTTTCAGTTGTCCCTTGTATTATGGTTCTCAATTTGCGTAGAATATATTTGTTTCCATTTATTTTTAATAAGACCTAACCAGTACAATTTAGACAGCACAATCTCCTTTGTTCCTTTCTCCTTCCTTGCGGCACCTTTATTTTAGGTTGGGGATAAGAGACATTGCAGTGTGTTGTATTAAGTTTACAGTGACTACACACAGTGGCCATAAAATTAAGTGCAAATGAAAAATACTGACTAATGAATGCCCTTTTGAGGCTGAACAAAGTTTTTTTTTTAAAAAAAGTAAACAAAAATAGATTACATAATATAAAGTAGGGAATTTAGCCTGTATGTGAATGAGATTAAAAGTTGGTCCTGTTTATAGGTAGAATAAACAGCCATTTATTGTACAACTGTACATTTTGTTTATACAACTGCTCTTAGGCAAAAGTGTGGGAAGAGAGAAATGTGGCTTTTTGATTGAAATTTACGTTTTATAGCGAATAATCTGTCAACCGTTATGCTTATACTATGGGAAAGAGGAACATTGGACTGCAAATTTTTGTTTGTACACTTGGTGGTGCCAATCTGGTTGTTCTGTCTTGCTGCTGTGCTGGCGATATCAATATGTGACCCAGGAAATGGACAGCATGTTACATGAACGGTTAACATTTTCCAGTCTCGAATGTGACATGTCGTACAGAATCCACTTCACTCTGGTTAGAAGTTTTGTGTGAACTGGTCTATTAACTATAACCTGTCAAAACTTAATTACTTTGAATTGTCTCAGTGAAACCCTTACTTTGTTTTAAGCACCTTGCTAAAATGGCTGTTCATAGTCTGCAACTAGTTACCTGAATAAGTATAATGTAAGTCTCCTTCTTCCCCTCCCTTCTCCACCACCCTCCCCCCCAAAAAAGTTGCTAATTCTGCCTTATACAAAATTCCTCTATATGTATCATTATGTGAGATTTACGTCCTGGGCTGCTTGCATTACATTAGAAATGCATTTTGCACACTCAGGTTTGCTGAAGCTCCAGTAATGTTTGCTTGAGCTGATGGTATTGAGCTATGCACGTGTGTTTTTAAGTTAGTAGATTTTGTTCCTCCCCATCCAGTATGATTTTCTTTTTTTTTTTGTGTGTGTGTGTTCAACTTATTTTTTTTTTACATTTCAAGTTGCTTGGTCAGGTTTAAATAGTGAACATATCTTGAAGGGCCAATGAATGACCTGTTAAGGAATGTAGGATTGGTTGACCCCTTGACTTAACGTGAGCATCAAGGAGTTTGCGGACTGTGTTGCAACTTCAATCTCTGCTTAAAAGGTAGTGCAGGGAGATTTAACAGACAAAACAGCCCCTCTTTTTCCATGTATATGTTGCCTATTTGTACGTCTCACAATTGTTAAAAGCTATAATCTATATCACAAAAAAAGTTTTAAAGGTTCTTTTTTTCTAACATTTGTAAAGAACTGCATAATTTCTGATTAAACTGTGTTGCTATTTTCACTTAACGTCAGTTTTTTGAACTTTCTGTTTCAGAAGCCATAGGAGAATTTATATAGAATGTTACCTTGTAAATTTATGTTAATATAAATTAGGTGTACAGAGATGTATGGCTGTCGGTATGGCCTAAATGTATGTTTCTGATTACCCTACAAATCCCCTGTAAGCCATTTGGAAGCCTTGTAACCATACAAAAGGGGAGGGGGGGGTTGTGGGATACCCAGTGCCTATTTGGTCAAATCAAATTTACCAACACAACTGCAGGAATTTCTCCCTTATAAACCAGAGGTATGCGTTGCATACTCTTCAATGCAAGCTACAAACATTGGGTTTCATAAAGGATAATATCTGAAATTGTATGATAACTTTGGATGACCAATTTGATTTTTAACCTTGACTGTAAGTAGACAGACATTGTTTTTGAGCTTGTGATCAAAAACATACATTTTTTTAAAAAAAAATATTGGCCAGACTCGATGTACAGTTACCTTAGTGAGCTCCAGGAGCTATTTTTTTTTAATCTTGTCAGTTAAATCATTTCCTGCAAGTTGGCCTTCGTGGCATCACTGTGTTGAATTGAGTGAACTTTTAGGCACTTTTTGCATGAGAAATTTTGCAGGCCAGAATGCGAAATGCTCTCACTTCTCCTGGGGTCGATAGTCGAACCCAAATGGTGCCATCGCCAGAGGTGGTTTTGTTCAGCAAGTAAGACCTGTAAGGAAAAATAATCCTAAAATTGATTTGCGTGCATGTGAAAGAACTCCCTAACCGGGTTCAGCAGCATTGAATGTACTGTTTCTATGAAATTTCTCATGTAAAATGAATACTACAGTATTTATTCCCTTGGTTTATTAAACATTTTGGTTAAAATTATTTTAAACTGGTTCCTTCTCCATAACAAAATTGCATCACGGTTTAGCTGGTATACAAAGCACAGAAACTAGTCCTGGATGCTTTACATGTGCATGAATTCCTTTGTAAAATGTGCATCATCGAGCCCACAGTTAGCTTGGTTCTTGAGAGTTGCCATGGGGAAGAGGTGGGGGTGGAGAGAAGGAATAGAAAGGGAGAATTCTCACTGAATTGGACATTGAAGAAGTACTGTGAATCCTTTAAGAACAATAACACAATCCTCGTGAGGCCACAGGCTGGATAGAGGAATTGATAAAACAAGTGGGTCTTCTCTCAAGCATTTAATAAACCATTGCCGTGCAAATTCGTGTAGTATAAATAATTACACGATGGTCAGGGCTTGCTCTAGGTTGGGGGAAGGGAAGGAACTGTGGCCTTATTACATGGCAACTCTGAAATACAGTATGTGAAAGATCTGGAAAATGTTTCTTGTGATTCTTTTTTTTGTAAGAATGATTTCCTTTGTAAAGGTTTATTCGTCATGCTTTAAATTCCTTGATTCTTTTCTGTAAAAACCCTTACCCTTTGTAACAAACTTCAGCTGTAAAAGTCGATACCCGACAGCTTAAGCCAAGCCATCTTCTTGTACCAGGAGGTGTATTAAATTGTTTAGTGCAGGCATGTCAGTTTTTATTTCTTTCAAGACTTAAATCATGACTGTCTACTAAGTTCACTGACAATCATGGTACAAAAAATTGTTCGAATAAATTCTTCTGCTGCTTTATTTTCTGCAATAAACCCTTTTCGGTTCATTTTTTTGTACACTACGCAGCTTTTTTTTACAGCCCTGCTTCAGTTGGTAATAGCTGGCATGAAAGTTATCACTCATTGGCTTTTCTTTCTGGAGGGATTAACGATTAAGTGTAATTCATATTTGCAATGAGTTTGTGCTTTTTTTATGAAGTACTGTAGCTGTGGCTTCTATCTGCGTTTCACCCAGAAATATTTTCCCTCCTGCTACAATACAGCAAAGCCCCTTGAACTTATTGAGTTCATACAAAAACACCTGAAGCGAACGTCACGTATTTGACCCAAACATTTAGTGCAGTAAAAGTCCGTCTTAGTATTTCTAGAAGGTTTGGAAGGGAGTTGCTTTATTAGTGCTCGTAACATGAATTTTTTTTCATTACAAAGCCTTTGTTTTTTTTTCTTTATGATAATTATTTTTTAACTGTGCAACTAATTGAGAGAGAGTGAGAGAACAGAGCATCATATTCTGCAGTTAATACATTTGCAAGTACTGTACAGAGAGATGTTTTTAAGATCGTATCGTTAACAACTGAGCGCCCGGCTAAAAATTTCAAGATAGCCTTCTCGCACCCAGGTCGGAAATGTTGCCGGTTCTATTGATGCAATTAATTGTTCAATTTCGTG